GTGTACTTTGCTGAGTGTTAGTATCCCATGCCAGCCCTCGTGGACCAAAAAGATTGGACTCATAGACATACTGATCATAAAGGTCAATCCATCTTGTCCATGGCTGCCGCCCTTTTCACTGCCCCTGCCATTTACCAAGCATGAGGTCCTTCTCCAGAGGCTGGGTTCCATGTCCAAAGAACGTGAGATGGAGTCTTGCCATCCTTGATTTTAATACAGATGTTTTATCCTACCACATCCTACCCTCTCCTCTCCTAGCACCACACCATCTCCCTCTCTGTCCCCTGGCTAAGGGACTTAAACAGAAGGACACTTGTGAGAGCCGGGCAGGGTTTCCTTCTCTTGCACACTCAGTGGTGATGAGTCAGAGCTGACTCCCTGGCTCACAATGACAACCGTTAGGCTGACCATTATGCCAGATGGTGAGTTTAATCTCCAGATGTGAAGGGTGGCCGAGGACCGGACCTCAAGTTCCACCACAGAGGCTGCTTTTGTGGAACTGAGCCACCAGGCCTTTCTTCTGAGACACTTTAGGGTGGACTCGGCTCTCTGACTGGGCCACTGTTGACTAGTGCTGCCCTCCCTACCAGGGGCTCCCTTGTGTCCATGCCACTTCTGCGTGTGTCTGCGCCACATCTGCTATGGGGGTCTCTTGGTCTGCCCCTTATTTTCTGACACATCGAGACACCTGTAGAGAGGGACCTGTGTTGGGGCACATCTGGGATCAACTGGCGTTTTGGTGGGTCCGTCCTCTGGTTGACCTAGCTGGGCCCTGCACCTTGGGGGTCACTGGCCACCCTCTGCTCCATGATTTGTCTAAGCTGTCAAATCATCCTTATAATTGTTTTGTCCATCAGAGTTGTGGAGGCCGGGGGTGGGGGTGGGGTGACTGGTTCACCTTTGAGGCTCCAGGAGTCCATAGCTGACAGATGGGCGTTAGGGCTGGGTGGTAAAGGAAGTCGGTCATTTTGTTGAAGGCCGAGTCTGGCTTGCTGGGCATGGGGATGTGGGGGGTGCTTGATGACCCTGAGAGCCTATGGAAGGGACAGGGAAGGTGCTGAGGGTAAGTAAAGGGGGGATAGGGTGCATCATGAGTGTCAGTCGGGGGTCCCCCACCCCTTGCATTAGACGTTAATAGCAGTGAAGTGGGGGAGGGCAGTCTCCAAAGAACACTGCAGTTTCCAACCCCGACTCATATGCCTTTCTGCATGTCTGCATCCGGCCATCTCTCAGAGGGAGCGTGCTTCCTGTTCCAGTTCCAGAGCAGGTCATCTGGAAGTTCTCATTTCCCAGGCAAACAAAGGAGTAACCCATCACAGACAGAGAGTTACCACATGGGGTCACCCCCAACTGTGGTGTCTGACTGTTTTCTGCATCAAGTTGGTTCCCAGGCAAGGAAGACATTACACACTTCCCCCTTCACACTTCACACACACACACACACACACACACACTTCACCCACAGGTAGTGGCTCTGCTCAGGGTACCCACAGTCTTGTCTTCCCACCCCTAGCAGCTCCTGCTGAAGCCACCCCCGTGGTGTCTCTGCCACTTGGACTCTTGCCTCCCACGTGCACTTTTCCCTTGTTCTCCAAATGTCGCAGGCTTTCAGCCTGCTGGGGCATTATCAAGACCAGAGAAGGACTCTCTGGCCATCCTGCCTCTGGGCCTGGTGAAAGGCAGCCTCCTGCCTCTGGGAACTTGCCCCTTCCTTTGGGATTGGGTGTGTGCACTCCCAGCTGCGAGACGGCATGCTTCCTTGTTCACATGGCAAACCTTGTTCCTTACAGTCGACGGAACCCTCTTGGCCTGATCATTGCCCTTGATGACAACCAAGAAGCCAAAGGGGAGCTTTTCTGGGATGACGGGGAGACCACAGGTGAGCACCTCTACCAACACCCAGGCGCCTTGGTCCCTGGTGCCTTCACACCTGCAATAGTGGCTCTGGTTTCTGATAGGGGCACCTCTGAACCCAAACCCAAACTCACTGCCATCGAGTGGACTCATAGCCACCCGATAGGACAGGGTGGAACTGCCTTTGTGGGTTCCTGCGATTGTCCCTCTTTACAGGAATAGAACGCTCCATCTTTCTCACAGATGGAGGAAAGACAGACCCTTAGAATAACCCTTAGGATTCCACCACCGTCAGCATTATACAGAGGGTGTCATTGTCTTGTCAATGGGCACTGAAAGCAACGCTGGCAGGGCCATCCTGCAGTTCAATGCATGCCTCTCTCTAGTACACTCAGATCGCTCCTGGCAGTGTGGTGGGGAGCTAGCCGCTGCTGTTGCTGATTGAGGGCGTGCTCATGCACACCGACCTCATGTACCGCGGGAGGAGAC